CGGAAGACCCACACCAGCCATCGTATGCTGGCCGTGAAAGCCTTCGACAATACATTAACCTAACATCCCTCATTCTTGCTGGTTAGGGCTACTAGAATGATCATTTAGAGACCTCTGGATGTCCCCCTCAACCCCACCTCCCCACCTTAACAATTAATAGGTTCAAGACTACTACATCTAATGTGAGCATATGTCATTTATGATTTTAATTCAAAAATTAAGTGTAACAGAGTTCACCAGAGTATATTGTTACTCTCTCATTTCCTTTCTCTCTAGACATTTCTATAAAGCATCATGAAACCAAGATCTGTATGCCACTAATTACAATTACAGGGAAACAGCTATGTTTCTTGCTGCCATTAACTTATGTTTTATTATTTTTTTTCTTATTAAGCAAATTTATATTGCTGCCCATCTCACTGAAGTGAATCTCGGTGATGTACAACAATCAGTTAAAAATACAGATAAAAACAACAGAAGAAATATTTAAAAAACCACATTAATAAATACTGTAAAAAAACAAAAATACAAGCCATAAGGGAAGGGAAAATAAAATGGCCCCCTCAACACTAGTGCCATCTAAGCAGGTCTCTTTTTCCTTGGGAGCCCCAGGCCTGATCACATAACCAGGTCTTGAGGGCCTTTTGGAATAGCAAAAAGGATGGTGCTAATCTAATCTTGGGAGGAAAGATGCTCCAGAAGCCACAATAGAGGAGGCACATCTCCTGGGACCCACCAAATGTACCCGCAGCATGCCTTTTCTGCAAGATAGTACCCGCAGCATGCCTTCTAGCCAATAATACCCGCAGCATGCCTTCTCTGCGAGATCTGACAGGGTGGGCTGATATAACCAGGGAGAGGCAGTCCCTCAAATAGCCTGGTCCCATGCCATGAAGAGCCCTTAAAACCAGCACCTTGAATTGGACCTGGAAGCAAACTGACAACCAGTGTAGCTCACAGAGCAGAGGGGCAGTCTGCTGTTCTCAGAGCACACATAATTCCCTGCCACCACATTATGAATCAACTGAAGCTTCCAGATACTCTTCAAGGGCAGCCCCACGTAGAACAGATTGCAGTATTCCAATCTGGAGGTGACTAGGGTGTGAGTGACTGTAATCAGTGCCTGCTGATCCAGGAACGGGCACAACCGGTGCCTGCTGATCCAGGAACGGGCATACCTCCTGGCCACAACTGCCACCTGCTTATTGAGCAGGAGTTGTGAGTCCAGAAAGACCCCCAGATTACACACTGAGGTAGTGCAACCCCATCCAGGGCCAAAGATGGCATAGTCCTGGAACCACTGGGCCCCAAAAACCACAGACACTCAGTCTTGCCAGGATTCAGCTGAAGCCTGCTGTTCCCCATTCAGACACTTACACCCTCCAGACACCAGGATAAGATGTTCATGGCATCGCTAAATTCATTGGGAGTGGAGATACATAATTGAGTATATATCACCCGATGGTGTTGGAAGAGCTCACCCAGCAGCCTCATGTAGATGTTAAAAAGGAGAGAAGAAAGCACCGACCCCTGTGGCACCCCATACAGTAGGGGCCAAGGGTGGGACTTCTCCCCAGTCATCACCAATTGGAATTGAGTCCAAAGGAAGGAGGTGGACCAGCATAGCACTGTGCTGCCCACCCCCAATCCTCTGAGCCAACCCATGTTTGACAGTATCAAAAGCCACCAAGTGGCAAGTAGGGCACTATCCCCCGCCCATGCCAGAGGTCATGTTGGAGTATAACTCCAAATATGTAATCTATATGTAATCAGGACAACAGGTGAGAGAGGTCTGCAGTATGAGTCATGTCCAATTAAGCTTGCATAAATATAAGTTGGTTTGGTTTTTTGCATTACATCAAAACCTTGATTTTGCTCTAAATCAAATCAAATCAAATCAAATCAAATCAAATCAAATCAAATCAAATCAAATCAAATCAAATCAAATCAAATGGTAGCATTCTCTTGAAAATATTTTAGCACAGGATTTAAATGCTACCTATATTTTTCCCTTCACCCTGCCTCTACCAGTCTTATATGGAACTGCAGCAGGAGACCAAAACAATGGAAGTGATTGCTACATCTTAGGTACTTTGGTGAACAATTCTGGCACTACAGAAGCCCAGACTGTGTTGAAGAAGAAGCAAGCCCATGTTGTCTGGGAAGAAGCTCTACTGTTTCCAGTCAAGGAGGAGGAGCTACGAGAGGGGACACTGACCCTCACCTTGAGGAACTGTGACAAGTTCTCTAGACACAGCATTATTGGTGAAATTAAACCAAATCTGGCTACTGTAGGAGAGAAGTATGGACCAGTGCAGTCTGAGAAGGTGAAAGTCCTTGACAAGGTATCCTGTCATTTCACTTATATTGTATTACCGCATGTTATAGTCTTCTACTGGGACGTAGAATGTTGCATGTGAGTGCTGCTATACTTCTGAGCCTTAATTCACTTTATCCTGCAGTCACAATGATGACATTGTTATTAGATCCTTTGAATGTCTCACCATCAGCATAGAGGGAAATATTGAATGTGATCCCCTTTGAGCTCCATTCTTGTCCCAGTGCTATTCAATATCTTTATGAATGATATATAGATGAAATGGAAGTAACAGGAAGGATGATATAGTGATACCAAGCTAGGGAATTGGCTAATACCTTAAAGTGGTGGTTCTCAACCTTTTTGAATCTGAGGCACAATATTGAATATAGCAGTAGTTCTGTGGCACACCAGAAAATTATTAATCTTATATATGTATTTTTAAATGTGTAACATATGGTTTGAGGGGAAATTATACAATTTTTTAAAAATATCTGCACTGTATTGAATATAATTATACAGAATATACATAATACAAAAAATGAGGGAAAAAAAACACAAGACAAAAGTATTGTGGCACACTAGAAACAAGCCCATAGCACACCTGTGTGCCACAGCACGCTGGTTGAGAACCATTGTCTTAAAGGACAATAGCATGATTTAAAATCACCTTGCTAGGATTAAGCCAAATTCAAAAGAATAATGTTCAGTAGAGAGATATGTAATGTTCTGCATCTGAGCAAGAAAAATCAAGTGTAGAAATACTGAGGAAACCTGGCTTGCTGGCATTTTGTGTAAGAAGCATCTGGAGATCCTAGTAGACCACCAGTTGAAGAAAAACAATTAGTGTGATGAAGTCTTGGGATGCATTAACAACATCATACATATATAAATAGCTACATTGTCCTCTGTACCAGTTAGTCGACACTGGGAGTATTGTATCTAATTCTGGGTACCAAACTTTGAAAGGAAAATGGAGCGGCCACAATGAGGTCAGAGGAGAGCTAGCAGGATGATAAGCGGTCTTGAAACAAGTCCTATGGAGAATGGTTAAAAGAGCTAGGCATGTTTAGTTTGAAAAAGAGAAGACAGAGAGGAGATGTGATAGCGGGATAGCAGTCTGCACATATCTAAAAAGCTATCACATGCAAGAGGGATTGATCTGTTTCCTGTAAAAACTGAGAGTGGAACAAGGCTGAATATTAGGAGGAATTTCCTGACAGTAAAGTTATTATGCAAAGAAAAATAAATATCTGTAACAGTTGTGGAGTCCCCTACTGAAGGGGCTGGAAAGCCAACTTCCTCTGAACAGGAGCTTGGACTAGATGACTTATAAGGTCTGTTCCAAGTTATACACTGTAGAGTAGTGCTTCTCAACCATGGCATGCTGGCTAGGGAATTCTGGGAGTTGAAGTCCACACATCTTAAAATTGTCATGGTTGAGAAACACTGTTGCAGAGTCTACAGTTATGAACAATGAATTACACCATAGAAAAAGTGTCAGAAAAAATTATCAGATTAACTCTGCAAACAGCAGTAGTTCTCTTGGGGGAAAAAATCAATTACTTGTTTCATTATATTTCCTCTCACCATTCTGAATAAATGTGCCTGATTTGTCCATGTTTCTTTTTCTCTCTTTCTGCTATCATACTTATTCCTAGCAGAGAAGGAAGGCTTGGGAAAGGCTAATGAATGTAGGGCTAAAGTGTCAGATTAAGATTGGGAAGGCCCAAGTTCAAATTCTCATGAAGCATGAAGCTCCTTTGGGAAAGTGGGGACCAGTAATTTACCAGTATACCTTTCCTTAAAAAGGCAATAAAAGAACAATGTCTGTTGTGTGGAGCTTTCTGGAGTTGTATACGTGGTTGTTTCCCACCATGAATATGACAAAGGTCAATGGTATTTCTTAGAGCATTTATTTGTTTGTTTGTTTGTTTTATGCCGCCCAACTCCAAATTCCTCTGGGTGGGTCACAATGCACAGAAACAGTATAAAACAATATAACAGAGACAAACACCACACCAAATCAGACAAAAAAAGACGGTGGACCCAGCAAACCCCAAACCCTGCCACCAAAAACTGGCATCCAATGAAAGGGAAACCAACCACTCTAGCCAATGGAGAACAGCCAGGTCTTTATGGGTGTTCAGAACACCCACAGGGTGGGAGCCATCTAGATCTCATTCCAGAGGGCAGA